ATGGATTCTACGAACATACTGCTTGTAACAAGCAGTATGTTCGTAGAATCCATAATCGCCAGAGAAATTCCCTACTCTCCGGGTAGGGGAGTACGAGTCCTACTGTACACCCTAAACCCGAAAGTCCCAAACCCTAAACCCCAAAGCCCTGAAGAATGGAACCCAAAGCGAAAACCGACCCAGGCTATCTCCGAATCACGCGTGTCACTCCTCGCAAACTTGGGGTAACATGTAGTGACTCCCAGAAAGTTGGAACACAGATTTAGGATGACTGCTGCTGGGATCCCCTACACTTCGTGTGATGTTCCAACGTTCTGGCTTCTACTATAAGGGCATTCAGAATAATCAGAACGGGGCTCTCGTGTAATTCTAACATGAGTATATAGCGACTATACTATAAGGGGATACTGCTACTGGCCAGACCAACCCCATAATTACGAGCGCAATGACATGGGATCTAAGATGCTTTAAAACTTTAAGATGCAGCATGGCCGGGCCTTCCCATAGATCGAAGGTCCCTTGCACACGATTTGGCGCATGGGACCGGTCATTCACACGTCAGAGCCGCACATGCTGCGGCTGGGAAGGCGGGCCCGTTGTATGCAGTTGACCGACTGGCGTCCTCAACAGCAGCCAGCTATGACATCCATGTGACAGTTTCGCAAACTGTAAACGAGCAGTCGGGTGCCCGAAAATCGTGGCCCCACTCGGACACACAATGAGCCTGCGCACAGGAACAGTGCAAGGAGCTTGCAGTTGCATAGTCTTTGCATGGAATGGTCCTTGACATGAACACGTCGCAACACTGGCGGCACCCTGAGACATGCCATCCGCCATTCTCACAAACATAGGGGCCTTCACATATAGTAAGACATGATAACTGTAGCCTCACAGTCCCTGTGTCTCTCTATAGCCCTAAACCCCTACACCCCTAACGAAGGGCCTCGTCAATTGCAAGCACGCTGATGCGCCCAAGCTGGCCAAGCGTCTTCTTTTCCGCCTCGGTCAAGATTTCGACTTCAATGGTCGGTGCAGGCTTTTTTCGCTGCAGGGCGATCATGGATGCTGTCAGCCTTCCCAGACAAACCATTCAAGTTGAAACATCCTGCCAATCTGCGCCTGACCTAAGATTTTGGGGGGTCTTTTTAAACTACACAAGTATATATGGACCACAAGGGGATAGTGGTAATCTTTACTCAGACATCCCGTGGCCTCCTTGACCGCGCGCTCGGGCGACATAAAGATCAGTGCCGCCTTCCAAAGCTGCGCCCCAAGAGACTAGCATTATAGTACTCTTATGGCGACTGTAGTAAATAAAGAAAGCCCCTGGTAGTCCCTATAAATTATAGTAGCATCTATCATACATCCTGAAACCCGAGGGTTTGAAAACTATATATATTATATATGTATAAACCCTAGTCGAGCCATTAAAGCCCGTGCTCCGGACCTCTAGCTGCCTGTACCGAAATACCTTACGGGCCCTAATGCTTATGAGCATAAGTGTCTTTCGGGTATATCCTTGTACTACAGGTACCTGCGAGTACCAGTAGGGCCTATAAGGGAGGGAATACTATGACCATTTAATGTCTCCGACCCCGATGTTTTTGAAATAGCAAAGCACCGAAGAACTCAAAACGCCATCCTGAGCAATACACAGTGTCACTAGAGATCTCTTGTTATGCGCCCTCTCAATCAAAATCCTCTCGCACTCTCTTTGTTTGTGGCGCAAAACCTCCCGCAACAAAGCCCCATCTAGGTCACCGCCCTGAAACACCCCCAAACCCTTAAAACCCTCATAGTAGCCTCAGTACCATTAATGTACGGGTCCACCTAGTCACCAATAATATTTTGGGCGTTCCTGATTATAGTTATAAGAATAGGCCTCAAAACAGTATTCTAATGATTCAGGCCCCTATATTAACGGAACCCAGACCCTCAACTCCCCTTCAGAGGAACCCTCCAAACGAGGCCAAAAGCCTAAACTTCCCTACGGCACCCCTACACCACTAGTTCCCTGTAAGGGTTTAGGGCTTAGGGTTTAGAGTTTAGGGTTTAGGGATTAGAGTTTAGGGTTTAGGCCCTCCAAGTTCTACCCGGACCCCGAGCACCTCACCACGGCGCACAGCAGCCACGACGTGGTCCCAGCGGCTTTCACCACCTGACCCAAGCCACCGGGGTTAGGGCTCAGGGCCCAGAGGGTTTATAGGCTTTATAGGCTTCAAGGTTAGGGTTTTGAAGTTTAGAGGGCCACAATGAAAATGAGGGTCTCATTGGGCTTCGAAGGGATTTCATACTGGGCGCAACCTGAAGATATGATGGAGTTGAGGGCCTGAGGGTTCTAGGCCTAGGGTTTTGGGGTTTAGGGGTTTCGGTTACGCGCTGCAGGGTTTTAGGCGCCAGGGGTTTTGGAGCCTTCAGATTCGGTGTTGTGCAGTTTATGGGCTGGGGGTTTAGAGCAGAAACCCGAGTTAAAAGGTTCAGGGGCACTAGTAGATAGGGCAACCAGGGAGATCTCCCCCCCTGGATAACGTTCGTGCCCCGGCACGCGCATGCCGATTAGAATCTTTTCGTGCATCATGTACTGTGGTAGGCATCGGCTTCGTGAAACCGGAACAATACGGCTGGAATCATTGCTTGATCGCCACTCCTGGATCCGTGCGCAAGAACCGATGATCACCTAATACCCCACAATGCCCACGCCCGCAAGCCGGACAAAGTCAAAGCCCAGCCGAAAACACCACCAGCCATAAACCCTAAACACCCTGGTATAGCGGTCTTAATATATAATTAGAAAAGGTTCTTGGGGCCCATAATACTCTAATTCCAATAAGGACCCCCCGAAATAGTGTTGGTAATTATTTAGGCCCCTACATTAAACCTTAACCAACAAGAAAAACCGACACCCACGAAGCCCCTCAAAAAGTCTGGCCTTGTGGGGAGCACACCAGCGCAGGCACGCCGGACTCCTTCAGGCGCTTTGCCTGGCTTGACTTGACGGTCTCCCATATAGGCCCCATAGTAGTTCCTTTTTGGGGCTACCTTATAGGATTCTATGTATGAACCCCAAAAAGGAACTACTTTAGGGCCTATGGGTAGAGTTTGTTTTATAAAGTGCAATGGTGCCCTTTCTGTTGCAGCCGCGGTTAGGGTTTAGGGCTTAGAGTTCAGAGGCTTCCCAGCTTTCTTGCTTTCTTATCATCTTCCGTGTCCGAGGGACGCTGTCTAGTCCCAAAAATACGAAGGCGTTCAGAGCTTCGCGCTGATAGAATTTAGGGTTTCGGGGATTTTTTGGTCAGGGACTGACGGTTTACATAAGGGGCCCTAGAAATTACGAGACATCTGCTGGCCAGACCTCTGAAAGAGCATAGAGCCTCTGCGCTCACCGGACAACCAGGGCAGTACTTACAGGAACAGGACATTTGGGTTAGAAAAAACCACACCCTAAACCCGAAACCCTGCACCAGTAGTGTACTTACCGCATTACCGGATCCACCAAGTGGTCCCAAAGCAAGCAGGGGGCTGAACATTGCAGAATGAGGCTGCGGCGTAGTATACTAGAACTCTGTTCGGGAGCCCTTCGACGGAATTGCACTACCAATTCTTCAGTTCCGACCCCTATACATTACCCATAGGCCCCATCGTAGATCCTAAATATAAGCCACAAAAAGGAACTACTACTATTGGGCCTATGG